AACAATTGGATAGGAGAGAAAGTTGCTGAAGACTTTCCTCGCACTCCTTTTTACCACTTTTTTGATCGTAACTATCTAATGATGGTAGAAGACAATTGTGCCAACAATTACTAGTAATCAATGTTTTATGTGAGTTAGAAACTCAATGTTTATGTTTGCAATTATTATGTCGACCTTAGATGTATGTGTGTGTTGTTGTACTACATGCTATGGTATCTTTGTTAGTGTTTGCTAGATTTCAATTGTTGGGTTGTTGTGTCTGTTGTAATGCAACTAAGATTGTGTTAATGAAGCTATATTAAGTTTGTGAGTGAATCTAAGTTGTTATAATGATTGAATTATGTAGATTGTTGAAATTTTTTAGGAGTTTAGCATTTGTGTAAATGGATGATTGGAAGATGATTAATTATTTTTATGACATCAATTTGATTAAATATGGTCTGGAATCCTTTGATTTGTTGTGCTTACACTTTAAAAATTCAAAAAAAAAAAATCAAAATTTTCAAAATCTGGGTATGGCGCCTAGGCACCAGGCAAGTTCGCAGGCCCGCATTAGGCACCAGACCAGCTGAACCGGCCAAATGCCCTCTAAATCATGAAATAAACTGTCGTCTTCTTCCTCCCATTCATGAAAAGCGACTCTTAAGGCTCCCTAAAGCTCACGAATCTTGGTGGTTTAGAGCTTAAAAGCTTTGGATCTCTTCTCCTCTAGGTAAGATCTACATTTTGGCATAGAAATTTGTTGTTTCACCATGGATTTCTTTCACATTGAGTGGAGGCCAAAAGTTGAAAAGAATTTGGAAAATATGGTAAGAAATCCATGGCGGAAGTGTGTTTGTTTGAAAATTTATTGTATGAGTCTTTAGAATTTACATTTAGAATTTATTTTGATTCTCATTAGATTTTTGTGATGGCTCCCAAAACTAAGAGAGGAAAGGGAAAAGAGATTTTTGATAATAAGAAGTTTGTTAATCTCAAAGTGCAAGATCGTTATAAAGATTTCTTGCTATCAAGGGGGCGTATTGTAGAATAGAGTTTTTTGAGTCCAGGTGGTGCTATTGAAAATTTAATTGTGGCTCAACAATGGGAAGGTTAATTGCACTTCATTGTAGTAGCAATCATTTTTGTTGTGTGAGAATTTTATGTAAATCTGTTGGAAGCACCAGAGGAGGAAGTTTTTGTTCGAGAAAGAGGAGTTGAGTTTACTGCAGAAAGAATCAATTCATTATATCAGATGCCTCTTTCACTGGATTGTTTCTATTCCGAGTTTGAGCCCTCAAAGACGGAGCTAGATGAGATTATTGCTTTCCTGACTGATGGATAGGGGTGTAAACGAACCGAACATGAACGAACAGAGCTGGTGTTTATGTTCATTTCGTTGAAATTTAGTTTTTTTGAAATTATTCGTGAAGTCACTGTTCGTGTTCGTTTCTTAACAAACGAGCTGAACACGAGCCGAACACGAGTTATTCGCGAACGACGAGCCAGTTTGACATCCCTAATATTAATAAATAAATAATATATTATATTAATTATATAACTTATATTATATAAATAAATAATATCTATATTATGAACAATAATGATTCGAGCACGAACGAACGCATCACTGTTCGTGTTTAGTTCGTTTAACTAAACGAACAAAAAATATTTGTTCACGTTCGTCTCATTGCTTATCGAACGAATCGAACACGAACTCATTGACGAACCAAACATGAACTATCCGCGAACAACGAGCCTTTTTGGCAACCCTACTGATGGACGTGGAGTGTGGAAAATAAAGAATGGGCTTAAGGTAAATTTTCCCCCTTCCATGTTTGATGCTCCATCCAAAGCATGGCACTACTTCATCTATAGGCTTCATTTTCTAATCATTTAAGCAAAGTTACAAAGGAGGGAGCTATCTTGAACTATTGTATTCAGAAAATGAAGCCTATAGATGTTGGTTCTCTGATCTACAAAGCTACTTTTATTTCCGCCAGAGCCAACTCTTCTGCAGGTTTGGATATCCTTTTCTCATTTTTACTATTTGCAAATAGTCTGTAGTGAAATATGATACTTGGGAGGAATTACGCCAACCACTAAAGCCTATTAGTAAAACTAATGTGGATATTTATGGAAAGCACACTATGTTTGGTTCTAGTAGCATCCTTAATATGTTGCTTCTACATCTGCTTCTAGACCATCCACTTCTAACAATACTGCCCCACCTCCTGGTAGTTGGGAAGAGCTTCAAGATCGATCTCTGGAATTTCAGTCTGATATGTTTTTTATTGCAATGTCAACTTCAAGATAATGAAGATCATTGGGACCACTTAGAACAATATATGAGAAGGAAGAGTGATTATGAAGCCAGTTTAGACACTTCCTTAGTGAACTTATTATGTGGTAAACACAGTGTTGAGATTTTTTATTATACTCACTACCCTCCTTTTGAGCACCGAAAGATGTTGGATGTAGTGTTGATGATGAGGATGAGGAGGAGTAGTTTTATGTCTCTGTAGTTACTTTCCTTATTTGTCATAGACTTTTTTCTTTGTTGTTGTGGTGTGTTGAACATTATGATATATTTATTTTCTATAGTTGTGAATTTTAAAGCTTTTTTACTTTCAATGCACTTCTAGTACCTTTTCATATATATATATATATAT